ATACATTTAAATATCGGTTTTCGTTATTACCTTGCATAATCGTGTCTATGTTTTCTAAACAAACCACTCTCCGAATGTAGCATTACAGATTTAGTGTAATCCTAATGCACACGGTTCTCCTAATAAGGAAATTAATTCCGATTCCGTTAAGTTGGGGACCCTTGGTGTCAATCGAAGTGCCTCTAGCACCGGAGGATGAGGGTTTGGATGGGGATTTCTTTGTGAAATGGCGGCTCTGGAAGCTTCGACATTATTGCACTTTAAAAACATATATCTGATCAATTATGAAGGCCTTCAAGTGATTGTTATAAACAGTATTAAACACATAGAAGACTACCTATTTGAAATAACACGATTAAAGATAGCTTATTAACACAATATACTGGTTGAAACATGTGTTTTTGTTTTAATATATTGTTGTAAATTGACCTTTATCAAGCATAGGACCGTAATGTGTACTTAAATAAAAGTTTGTAAACATTGAGAACGAGTGACTTCTGCAGTCTATTAGTAGTTGGCGATGGCGATCAACGTGTGGAACTGATTAACATGTGTGTGTGTGTGTATGTAAATGTAGGTATAATGCGTAACATTATGTATGTATATGTGGGTTGTGTGCAGTAGGCCTATGTATAGCTTCTTTTTTTTTTTTTATTGTTTAAGCTTTTCAAGCTTTGCACATTTTACTGTGGCAGCTCAATTCCTGAGCGATGGATCCAAAGTATCGAAGCGGGACCAACAAAAATGTATAGCTTTTTTTATTGTTTAAGCTTTTCAAGCTTTTACATATTTTAATGTGGCAGTAAAAAATTAAATAATTCAAATATATATATAAAAAAAACAAAATAACACACTTAACTGTCTCGATTGATAGAACTAGAGGTAAAAGGTCAAGAAATGGGCCCTGAACCGAGAGCTCATTTGCTTGTATTACCGCTACGACGCCACACATTCTGTACTTCATCTTTTATATTTTAGCAATACTATTTTTTTTTAAAGTGAACTATCATCTTTCTCAATGGCCTTAATATAACCGTTGCTCAAATCCATTAGTAATGGAGATCTTTCTGCATCAAGGCATTGAAAGGTAACCCGACTACTGAATCACCTGTTCGTAGTTTCATCCCCTTTAACTCTCGATGAAGTGTGAACAACGAGACTCGCACTCTCTGGAAAAAGTACAGATTAAATCTGTGACCAGAACATTTAGCTTAAGAATGAAGAATAAAGTACCAGAACAGAGAATACCAAACCACTTTTCAGGTATCTGTTAGCCAAAAATGACATGGAGCTATTCGAGGTGCGATGCTCAAAATTAATATCGTTGATGGTATGGCTGACTGTAATTCTTTAAACACATCTTTTTACTTGTGATAATTCTAAAGAATATACATATATACACATAATATATTTCTAGTTTTGCTTTAAGGATGCATTGTCAGACATTTACAAAAGGTAATAAGAGTGACATTGACACTTTCTCTAAACATTTGTAACAAATATTTAAATCATTTTGAAGTATATATATATATATATATATAAGATGTGTATAAGAGACAGTGATAATGATGTCGATGATGATGAGGATTTGGTGATGATGGTGGTGGTGGTGGCGATGATGATGATTATAGTGACGACACTGATACTTACGATAGTGATAACTATTATGATGCTTTTCATGATGATAATGATATTTATATTTTACTATAAACTTCATCCAAGGTATAACAAATTAATGCAATGATTATTCGCAGCTAACAAAGCTTGAAAAAAGCTGACAACAAGGTTTGATTTAAATATTCAAAATGAAACATGATCATCGGCCTAGTGCTCAACGGTTAATATAAGTCTGTAATTATAATACAGTATTTAATATAGGTTTTGTAGATTGTACTCTAAATTGTAAATTTACTATTATATCAAATTAGCTCTACAATGCAATAATTCAATTTTTAACACCTGATACATGTTTTATAATGGTCTTTCTAACTCTAGTTTTCTTACATTTTATTTTATACTATTACGAATTATAATTCCATCTTTCATTGATTATTTTTGTTTCTATCTTTATTATTTTGTTTAAATCTCATTCCAATGTTCTCATTTGAGTGAGTTTACTTTCATTTTATATCTTCTCGTTATTCCATTTAATTTGTTTTAATTTCATACATCACTGTTCTTAATAAATTTCTTACTTCATTTGTGTTATTATTATTTATCTAATCTCACTTCTTTCTTACGTGTTATTACGAAAGATAAAATATTACTACGGCAGTGTCAATATTTACATATTTGTAAAAACCCCCATAATTATCATTTACAACTAAAACTGAACCTCGTAACCTCATAGTATACAGTTACAGCATATACTTTAATTGGCGAGTGTACTTGGAGTTGGGTTCATATATATAACTGTCTCTTATACACATCTAGATGTGTATAAGAGACAGACCTCCCTGCTGAGACTATGATAATGATGATGATGTCGATGATCGAGATGATGACCATACCTCCCTGCTGAGACTATGATAATGATAATGATGTCGATGATGATGAGGATTTGGTGATGATGGTGGTGGTGGTGGCGATGATGATGATTATAGTGACGACACTGATACTTACGATAGTGATAACTATTATGATGCTTTTCATGATGATAATGATATTTATATTTTACTATAAACTTCATCCAAGGTATAACAAATTAATGCAATGATTATTCGCAGCTAACAAAGCTTGAAAAAAGCTGACAACAAGGTTTGATTTAAATATTCAAAATGAAACATGATCATCGGCCTAGTGCTCAACGGTTAATATAAGTCTGTAATTATAATACAGTATTTAATATAGGTTTTGTAGATTGTACTCTAAATTGTAAATTTACTATTATATCAAATTAGCTCTACAATGCAATAATTCAATTTTTAACACCTGATACATGTTTTATAATGGTCTTTCTAACTCTAGTTTTCTTACATTTTATTTTATACTATTACGAATTATAATTCCATCTTTCATTGATTATTTTTGTTTCTATCTTTATTATTTTGTTTAAATCTCATTCCAATGTTCTCATTTGAGTGAGTTTACTTTCATTTTATATCTTCTCGTTATTCCATTTAATTTGTTTTAATTTCATACATCACTGTTCTTAATAAATTTCTTACTTCATTTGTGTTATTATTATTTATCTAATCTCACTTCTTTCTTACGTGTTATTACGAAAGATAAAATATTACTACGGCAGTGTCAATATTTACATATTTGTAAAAACCCCCATAATTATCATTTACAACTAAAACTGAACCTCGTAACCTCATAGTATACAGTTACAGCATATACTTTAATTGGCGAGTGTACTTGGAGTTGGGTTCATATATATAACTGTCTCTTATACACATCTAGATGTGTATAAGAGACAGACCTCCCTGCTGAGACTATGATAATGATGATGATGTCGATGATCGAGATGATGACCATACCTCCCTGCTGAGACTATGATAATGATAATGATGTCGATGATGATGAGGATTTGGTGATGATGGTGGTGGTGGTGGCGATGATGATGATTATAGTGACGACACTGATACTTACGATAGTGATAACTATTATGATGCTTTTCATGATGATAATGATATTTATATTTTACTATAAACTTCATCCAAGGTATAACAAATTAATGCAATGATTATTCGCAGCTAACAAAGCTTGAAAAAAGCTGACAACAAGGTTTGATTTAAATATTCAAAATGAAACATGATCATCGGCCTAGTGCTCAACGGTTAATATAAGTCTGTAATTATAATACAGTATTTAATATAGGTTTTGTAGATTGTACTCTAAATTGTAAATTTACTATTATATCAAATTAGCTCTACAATGCAATAATTCAATTTTTAACACCTGATACATGTTTTATAATGGTCTTTCTAACTCTAGTTTTCTTACATTTTATTTTATACTATTACGAATTATAATTCCATCTTTCATTGATTATTTTTGTTTCTATCTTTATTATTTTGTTTAAATCTCATTCCAATGTTCTCATTTGAGTGAGTTTACTTTCATTTTATATCTTCTCGTTATTCCATTTAATTTGTTTTAATTTCATACATCACTGTTCTTAATAAATTTCTTACTTCATTTGTGTTATTATTATTTATCTAATCTCACTTCTTTCTTACGTGTTATTACGAAAGATAAAATATTACTACGGCAGTGTCAATATTTACATATTTGTAAAAACCCCCATAATTATCATTTACAACTAAAACTGAACCTCGTAACCTCATAGTATACAGTTACAGCATATACTTTAATTGGCGAGTGTACTTGGAGTTGGGTTCATATATATAACTGTCTCTTATACACATCTAGATGTGTATAAGAGACAGACCTCCCTGCTGAGACTATGATAATGATGATGATGTCGATGATCGAGATGATGACCATACCTCCCTGCTGAGACTATGATAATGATAATGATGTCGATGATGATGAGGATTTGGTGATGATGGTGGTGGTGGTGGCGATGATGATGATTATAGTGACGACACTGATACTTACGATAGTGATAACTATTATGATGCTTTTCATGATGATAATGATATTTATATTTTACTATAAACTTCATCCAAGGTATAACAAATTAATGCAATGATTATTCGCAGCTAACAAAGCTTGAAAAAAGCTGACAACAAGGTTTGATTTAAATATTCAAAATGAAACATGATCATCGGCCTAGTGCTTAAGGAGTTTTACACAAAAGGCAACTCCTTGTGAACATCTGGTATCCAAGATACAAGAACCCTTTTGTCAACACCAGCCACATGTGATAAATGCCTTGTAACATGTGTGAATGGTCAGTATCGCCATATTCATTTTAACAAAAGATTCCAATCAAGTAAACAGAAACATGTGTAAATGAATAATTTGAGATCACAAGGAAGTATGTATAGGGGTTGGCATATGCATTGAAACATGTCAAAGGTCAGAACAGCATTTCCGGTAATTTTATGCAAATAGAAACACGAATGTTCCTAACTAACTCTCTACACCAGTGGTTGTGGAGATATGAAGATTCTATAACTATGACCTTCAAACATGTCAAAGGTCAGAAACAGCATTTCTGGTCGTATTGTAGCAAAAAAGGTGTATTAGAGCAAATAGAAACATGAATGTTGTGAACAAATAGGCACCAAAATTAACTTTCTACCACCAGTGGTTGCGGAGATATGACGATATGACAAAACCTGAACGTGACAACTTGGAGGTCCATATTGATCCTAGTTTATGACAGGCACTCCAAGCTAGTGCTTTCCTGACTGCCATATCCTTTTCTGAATTTTCGATCCACCCCAAGATATTTAACATTTTCAACTTCCATTATTTGTGCCCCATTTTTTGCCCTGATTTGATTGATAGGTAGCAGTTGATTGAAGCTCATGAATTCAGTTTTCTTAGTGTTCAGGTGAAGCCCAATTT